CCGTTGTGACTCTGACCAAAGTCTGAGGCGCCACCAAGTTCCGGTGCAACACAGGGGCAGCAGAAACAAGTGAGAAATGAAACTAATCTAGTTACTGAAATCACCGTAAATGTTGTGTGCAAGTGAGACACGAATTAACTGTGATCAAACATTAGTTGCAACTGTTTTGTATGCGAACGGTCTCAAATAGCAGCAGAAACCTTTTTTCATTGGTCAGGTGTCATAGTCAGGTTGAGACTTTGAGGTAGTAGCTCGCACCAGTTTTGCAGTTGAAAACAAAACCGAGACCATACTCTTCCTTGATGCAACCAAAGCTTTGTTCCGAAACCGATGAGCACGTTTGTCTGTTCCAAAACAATTCAACGTTAATTTTTGGAGACACATATTATCAGGTTTCCGATATGCATCACTGGACGACACTTCCACATTGAGGGGAAGTTAAGGGAGCAGCGAACTATATTCGTTCGCTGACTAACCTGACTGTTGAATTCAGCCAATTTAAAGTATTCCTATTCAACGGAATGCGCTGCACAAGGCCGGTTTGTGTTACACTTGGTCATTTTCGAGATACCGTAATACTTTCTTCATGCAGCATACTACTCACAAGGATACTGAAATCTCTTTACGCTCCACAGCCAGTTTTGCCCATTTTGGTGCACATCAGACAGGTCCAGCTTGAGATTAGATAAAACATAAGATTGCGTAAACTTGTGCACGGCATCTACATAATGGGTTTCAAGAACGACGAAACTGGTTGTGGTCCTTCGAAGCGTTCAGCGACCTTATGAGTAATCTGTATCCTCAAAAGGCTCAAGCATCTTAAGGACTGTCGTCTAGCAACGTTGGTGGTAGACCGTGGTTGTCAACGCCTCTTTTAGCCATTTAACACCAGAGACAGAAACTATGACACCCAGTACCCCAATTCGAAGTTAAAAAACGATTGATTCCAAATGAAGACTTGAAGTACTCAAACTGTCTTGATGAAAATCGATGGGCAGCATCGCATTTCATTCAGGGGGCATAAAGTCCTTCTAATTTAGTTTCTTTGCGGATATGTGGCAGTTTTCAATCAGCCCGTGGTGTTCGTTTTGTTTATTTGCTGACTGTCGTACTGTGATGGTATGAGTAGTATTGAGTTGTCACTGATTATGATGATTATTCAAAAGCATGTTAGGCTTTTTAATCGAATGTCTTGGCTTGGCGGGTCCAACCGCTTCTTCGCAGACGGAGCAGTACTCAGAATCGTTTTGAAAAACTGGCCCCCACTCTACCGCCTGAAATAACTATTTTTTTCGTAATAATTATTTTCATATTATTGACTCAATCAATTTTGCATAGGTCGTCAAATTGGGCGACTGTCGTCCACGGGCATGAAGCTCTCAGTTACCGCATTGCCCGATAACCCAAACTGAACTTTATAAAACTAAACTAGTCAAGTTTGTTAGCGAACTGCGATAAATAGGAATAAACGATTTGGAACAAACGACTCTGGTCATCCGGATTCCCTTCTGAAAGATCTGCACAAAATTCAAGTTTCCGAATGAAAAACCTACAAGAGGCTTCTTATCGAATTACGTCAGTTCGCATAGAAAACAGCGAACTTTCGTTAAGTGGATTACAGTGAAAACGCCGAATTGGATAACTATAAGTTACAAAATAACCACGCCCAAAACCGAAAGGAAGAAAGAAGAGTAATCAGAAAAGCTGGATATTGTGATTGAGAAATTGCCCCGTGGGACTGTAGATCGAAAGCGGTTTTGTTCTCTATTCGCTAATAGATGCGTCGAACCATATGACCACGAAAACTGCAGAAAGATAAAAGGAATCAAAGGAATCAAAACGTCGGAAATGTGAGCTCATTGTCAAATTTTCTCGAAAAGTGTGTTGAAGATGATGAGAGCATTGTCTCATATATTGGCGACCTTCCATTGGATAAATGAACTATTCTATCACTAAATCAGTGTGTGAAAAATCCAGTCAGATGGATCCGTTTGGAGAGAAAAATGTCGACTTTCGATTTGAGAAGCAACAGCATTTTGACACCCTCGACAATCCAATGACGTGACGTGGGCATGAAGAAAGTTACAATTCTGAACACCCTGATGGGTCGTAGATGAGATGTCTAATTTAAATAGAACTCAAACAGTTCCGAAAAATCAACGGAGCACTTACATTTTAGGACGGGCTAGTACGGACATCCATATTTCCTATACAATGTGACCACGGTTGTTATCCTTGTAGCACGGTAGATAGGACGTTGCAACAAAAACAAAATACTGGTCTCAAAATGGCAAAATCATCATCATCATCGACAGCATGACATCAGTGTTCGACACCGATGCTTCACTGCCGTACAACCATGACTTATTTGAAAGCCTTATTGTAAAGAAAAAAATAAATGTGGATGGGGAAGGGACTTGGTGCTAGCTTAACACAATCATTCCGAGGTGCCTACACCTCCAGACATTCACTCAGGCAATCTGGACAGAAACTGACAACAAGAACGCCACTGACATCAGTTGCCACTCATATCTTGTAGTGTCTCCAACCGGGCAGTGAGGATTCCGCGGTCCCCATCCTGGAAGGCGAGTAGCACCGACAGCACCCAAGCGTTTCGTGATTTTCTTCATGCTGCTCCGCCAAGTCAAGGGTTAGCCACCTCTCTGTTTACGACACTCTGAGTTGAGCATGGAAAACAGCATTCTCTTCGGCAAACGATGGTTCGGCATACGTAACACATGTCCCAACCAACGCAGCTTCTGGTGCTGGACACATTCTTCAATGGAAGTACCCGTTACACAACCGAAAACACGCTTTCTAACTGCCTCGTTACGGATTCGCTGACACCAACCCACACGAGCTATGGTTCTGAGACAACGATTGTCGAACACCTGAAGACGTCTCAGTTCCGCTGCTCGAATAGGCCAAGTCTCACAGCCATACAACAAAACAGCCCGTACTGTAGCTTGTTACACACGTTCCTTCAGATTCAGGGATAAACCATTCTGACGCCATAGGTGTCTCAAGTTAGCAAACGCGGCCCGAGCCTTGCAGATTCGTGCATTCACCTCATCTGTCACACTGCAATCAGAACTAATACAACTTCCAAGGTACGTAAAACGCTCCACAACTTCCAGTACCTCTCCCTGGATTGTAAGGGGCGTGTTCAGTGACTGCACGTCCACAAGCATGACCTTACACTTTGTGGGTGCAAAATGCATACCAAAGGACGGGATGACTTTGGTCAGTTCATCCAAGAATACTTGCGCCTTCTCCTCCTCTTCGAACATGAGAACGATGTCGTCTGCATATTCCAGATCGACAAGGTTTTCTTCACTGGCTATTTGAACACCAGGGTTTTGGAGACCCTCCAGCGTTCGTCTCATTATTTCATCGATCACAAAGTTAAAAAGGAATGGAGAGAGTGGGCATCCCTGACGGACACCGCTTTGTGTGCGGAAGCTTTTGGAGAGCTCTCCGTACACTCTCACACGTCCGGAAGTCTGAGAATACAAAGAACGTATTATGTTTACAAACTTCCGGGGCATTCCTTGGTGGGCAAGCGTCTCAAGAAGAACAGACCGATCAACCGAGTCGAATGCGCCTCGGAAATCCAGGAATACTAGAATCGTGGGTCGCTTATACGTATGGCGTTGTTCTAGCACCTGACGCAGTGTGAAGATTTGGTCAACACAACCCCTACCAGGCCGGAATCCCGCTTGCTGCTCTCGAGTCAGCATCTCACGAGCCACCGTAAGGCGACGAAGCACAATTGACGCCAACAGTCTCGTTACAACCGGGGTCAAGCTGATCCCCCTGTGGTTACCACACTACGCGCCACTTTTTTGAAAATGGGCACAAAATAGCAAAAAACTAAACAATACAAGGGGGTCCTAAGAGAGCCAATCACTAAATATTAAAAAATAATGCATTAAGAGCTCCTCCGGGTAACTTATGAATGCGTGATAACTATCCTTTTGTTTGATGCAAGTCACCCTAGACAACAAACAGTGGAACAGCCCTACAGTTATCATTTCACCTGCTCACTAAGGCCACCCTCGGGGTTGTGAAATCATATATTCTTCGTCAAGCTTAGTTGCCCGTAGAATGGAATGGTTGAAAAATATCTGTACGCTTACATCTGATCATAAATAATCATAAATTGCAAAGAATAAGCTTGTCGATTTAAGAGGTGATAAGAGAGAGGTTCCGTCGCCGACCAAGGCATCAAAGTGTGCTTCGGAATATTATAACAGCACTTATTCTTGAAATCAACGAGTGATTCAGGTCTCCTTAATATACCAGTAACTCACATATTCGTCATACCTTGTCTTACAAGCTATACCGCTGAAGGGACGAACGATGCACTGCCTGGAATTGCGACGGGAACTGATATTGAGCTACTGAAAAATGTTCGAAAGCCTAGTTACAGGCGGATGATCGATGATGGTTGTGTTTAGGACAAATGGAAAATGGAGTTTTATAAACAGAAATAAATTCGAAAAAGGAATCACAAGTAATAGAGAAATAGCTATTCATTTCACCGACGATAATGGGAGTTTAGCTCTGGCTAGCAATCAGACGCTAGATTAATGTTATTCAGACACGGCCCAGTCGTATCTTCAATGGCACTCGAGCATCCAAGCTATTGCTTTCAAAGCATATCTCCCTTCTAAATCGCCCCACTTAACACTCCACTGATAATGCTGTATTTACGCACCAATTTACCAGCTCCTGCCTCCTGCGCGGATACCTACCCCTGCTCCCCAAATCATCGGTGAACAAAACTGTAGTAGCTTCAATCACTGTATGACAAGTACGCAGTTCTTACAGCTGACGATGAGGGTGATGATATTATGGACGCCTACTAGTTGACTTCAGGATGGAGGTAATAAAGAGACCAGTTTATCCTAGCTACAGTTATCGTAGTCACGAATAAATGCAAACGCCGATAATTAGATTCTGTAGCTGGGTGATCGATGTAGTCGAGTTTACATGACATGGCTCAGGTTTGCGCCATTTGCGCTGGTCATTACCGTCTCGCTGGATGGTTTTTCCGAGATGGGACACAACAACGGTTACGGACATTGTCAGACATGACACAGTCGCGCCCTCAGTGGCGCTTGTACGTCCAAGCTATTACCTTCAATACACAGCTCCCTTCAAATCTCTCCAATGGAAAGTACACTGACATCCCTGTGTTGATGCATCAACTAGATCAGCTACCGCCTCCAATGCACAACTGCCTACCTTACCTCCTCGAATCACCGATGAACAAAACTGTGGCAGCTAAAACCACTGTACGACAAGTACGTGGTTCTTACAGCTGACAATAATGATTAGATGAATCTTTGGAAAATGAAAAATCTCACGTCTGCGCAAGAGATGTCATTCACATAGCGTCAAATTTTTGTAAAAATCAAACAACTTTTGATGGATTGTGGTATTTTAAACAACCTGATGGGGGAGAGCACCGCGATTTGCTGTAAAGGACAAATCGTGTAAAGTATCCACCTTTAAAGTAAGCGGAATATCCCCTTCTCTCTGGCATGCTCCGATTCGGGCTGCAATAAAGTAGTGCACCTACCAAATGAGCAAACACCTCATAGGAAGTCCGAAACTAATCGGAGCGCACTTCTACTGGGAACTACTCTCATCAAAATTCTGCCTTTAAATGGACATTCTTAATCTTTGGATAACAAAATAACTACTTAGCCGGTTTTCATTCAATTGGAAGAAGTTTGTAACCGATTGAGATAAAATCGTCTCAGAAGAGCTTCGTCAATCTACCGGTTGTTTAACAATCCCTTCTGAAACAGTGCCTAGCTGATTATTTTTTGACATATTTTATCCAAGCCAGAGAAAATTTTGCTCCATTTTAAAGCCCCCTGGTAGCGTAGACAAATAATATCAGACATCTACAATAGTCTTCAGTGAGAGTGTTATAAAGTACCACGATTGCTGAAATTTCTTCTGCCTCCGAGAACTCCTCATTCTCAATTACGATATCCCGCATTTTCTGGAAAGCATCGACACATCGAATACGGGCCCCTAAGCAATGACAGATGAGTAGTGATTTGAACTCACCACATGGTATATATTCTGGAAGTGTACCGTGGCATACAGAGGCAGCATACAGTCACTTTCATCTGCATCAGATGGAGATCTTTTGATTGTATTGCGGAACGGTGATTTTACTGAACTGCGTCTCCTGACATGCTTGTCCAGTGTCATCTGGTGGCCCAGGAGAAAATTGTCTCACGCCATTTTTCACGACTCAATATATCACGTTAACAAGTTCAATGAATTTTTAAAAAAGGCACTAAAATCATTCCTTAAAATTCAGTTTCATCGTAAAAAACCGCCCACATCCAATGATTGTTGAAGTAAAAATGTAGTTCGGAGCAACATGATCACACTTGGATAACCTGATGAAACAAGGAGAGGAGCTGTGTGATCGTTGGATGAAATCAGAATATTCTCCATATCATTTCATTACTGAGACGCTGAACTAACCGAGCAAGATATCCCCGAACATCCAAACTTTCCGTTTGAATGTGTATTTGACCTCCAGCTGCCATAATTTTGTTTTATGAACCTCCTTAAAGATTCATTGACTTGACCCTGCACTACTTATGGTTTCTGTGCACTTGACAATTTCCTTAGAGTGTAATGCTGTAACAGGAAAATATTCTCCGATATTTAAAGTTTGATGTGACAGTACAATCAATCATAGAGATTAAGCAGGGATTCAGTTAACACCAACTTAATTTGCGAAATGAGTGTGTTTCGCCGCCGAATTCCGGCCTGTTCTTCTAATAGCGGGCGATAGTGTCAGTATCTTTTCGACATATCCAGAACCACTGAATCTATCACCCTTCAGCACAATGCTGTGCTTCAGAAATGAGTGGATAATCCACGGCTGTTTTGGTCAATGCACCAGAACCTGTTAGGGGGTAGGAGAGTAATTTGTTTCTTTCTGAAGTTTAGACAACTATTGACCGTAGTGACCAAGGGCCACTGAAAAAATTGACCATCCAGAATATTGTCTGCGCCGGGACGAAAGCAAAATCCTTCGTAGCTTAAAACACCTTCATTCCATTGGCGTTGTGGTTCGTCATCTCATATCATCATCATTGTCAGCTGTAATAACCGCGTACTCGTCGTACAGTGGTTGTAGCTGCCGCAGTTTCGTTCACCGATGTTTTATTTGGAAGGGGATAGGTACAGTGGGCTGTCAAGTGGGGGGTGGGGGGTGGAAAAGGAGCCATGCATTGAAGGCAATAGCTTGGATGCACGAGCGCCATTGAGGGCGCGACTGGGCCCTATCTGACGATGTCTCTAGCAATTGATGTGGCCCGTCTCGGGGTCCCCATCCAGGAAGATGGCAGTGACCAGCGCAGCTGAGTTTGCTAGTAATGGCTTACATACTTCGCTGTCAAGTCATTGTTTGACCGCCTCTGGCTCTCGTCCACCCTTCACGTGGTTGTGCTAAAAGAGACCTTCGAGGAAGTCGGTCGACTGGCATAC